TCTCTCTCTCTTTTTTCGTGATATGTTAACAAAATAGAATTGAAATCAGACACTTTTAATTTGAAAAATCAAGCTAATTTAATTTTTACTAAATTGAGTTAAAACTAATATAGGCTATATATAAAAAATAAACAAAACAATAAATAAATATATATATAATAAATCTCTCTCTCTCTTTTCTTTTTATGGTAACCAGTTAAAACGCAAACAGCGACTTTTAATTTGAAAAGCCAGCTCAGCGGCAGTACGTGTCTTCTATCTAGTGTTGCGGCCTGTTGTGTGTCGGAGGAGGATGTCTGACAACGCAGAATCTCCTACAGAAACTCAAAAAGATGATCCTTCGATACAACACGCTGCCATTGAACACACTGGAGCGTCGGATGAGAAGAAAAAGAGTATGGTTTTGGAGTTATATACACGACCAGAGAAACGGTTATACATTCATTTCTAAACGCTGCTGCTCTTTATTTGGCGTAGTTTATTAGCGAGCTACTTCCGCGATTTCGCGAAGATCGACTGCTCTGCCAGCCAATGAAGTTGCCGTTTGTTTATAGGCAGCCAATGGCTGGCCAAGCAGGCACGTGCATTTTTTTTTTTTTTTTTTTACTTTGACGGGGATCGCAAGAGTTGTTTTTTTTATGGTTTTAAAGAACGTTAATGCTAAACGTTAATTAACTTTACGGCCTAAACCAATCTTATAGTGGGACTATTATTTTAAGTGATATCTTATCACGTATTCAACAACAGGTAATAAGACATTACCAAGTAATATTTCACATTTAATTGCGTTGATATTAACCCCTTTGTGGAACTCAGGGCGATATTGTACCATATTAATTTATGTAGTGCTTTTATGGCAAAACCTTTATCATTTCGATTGATGTACAGTCATATACCTGTACAGTTTTAGCAGACCCTTGTGAAAAGTGTCCTTAATTGTTCTGAATGTACACTTGTAGTGTACTTTTAAACTTAGAGATAATATAATATTAATGAAATTAAATTTCAAACCTTTGTGAGTTTCTTTCTTCTACTGAACACAGAAGAAGATATTTTAAAGAAAGTTGGCATCCAAACAGTTGATGGTAGCCAGTGACTTGTATAGTATGGAAGAAAGAAACTCATACAGGTTTGGAACGAGGGTGAGTAAATGATGACATACTTTTTATATTTGGATGAACTATCTATCACTTTAATAAATATGTTCCACACATTGTCTAATTATGTTGTGCATGATTTTATTCTCATTTTATATTTCAGTTGATGTGCTGTTGAAAGCAGTAGGTGATGCGCCTATCATGAAGACCAAAAAATGGTCCGTGGAAAGAGGGAGGACAGTACAGTCACTCGCTCAGTTTATCTCACGCTTTCTCAAACTGGAGCCTAGTGAACAACTGGTATGTGATTCACTCCCACCATGAACACGTCATTATATA